ATTTGTCTTCGTCTCTATCTCTCCCTTTGTCCTCCCCTCTCTCTCACTCCCCCCTCTGTCTGTTTGTCTGTCTGTCTCTCTGTCTCTCATTCTCCCCATCACTTTCTGTCTCCTTCATCCCTTCCGTCTTTCTCTCCTATTTCCCCCCTATTCTATCCCCCTTCCCCTTCATTCTCTTTGTCTCTTCTCTCTACCTCCTCTTCCCATCCCAGTCATTCTCTTTATCTTCCTTTTCTATTTCCCTTCCTTTCCCCCCTCATTCTCTTTGTCTCTTCTTCTTTCTATCTCCCTCCCTTCCACAGCTGAGAAGAGAGGAACAAGAGACTGGGGGAAGGAATTACAGATATAGAGGAGTAACGATAAAGACGATTACCAGCGGAAGATCTGAATAACACAGAGACAAATTCCTGACTAACACACCCCCCACACACAGACAGACACAGACAGACAGACAGACAGACAGATACCCGCCCCTGTCTCCTTTCCTTATGGTGTAGTGCCATTAGATAGGGTTTAGTTACTATCCCGGTATTTTTTTTTTTTATATTCTTCTATAACAAAACAACAGCCAGACAGACAGACAGACAGACAGACAGACAGACAGACAACAAAGACAAGAAAATTGCGTGCAGTAATGGAAGAACAACATGGACTTTCACTCTCCCTCCCAGCCCCTGCCCCGCCCTGCCCTTCTGCCCTGCCCTGACCCCGCCCCTGCCCTCCATGGCCTGGGAAAGTCTTTCTCTCCAGAGAGGCTCTGGTTACCTGTCCACTCTGTACCAAGTCTCTCTCTCTCTCTCTCTCTCTCTCTCACACGGTGGGGGGGTTTGACATAACACATCAACACAGTAATAACCCTGACCCTCTGCTAGAAGACTAATGACCCGCTGTCCCCCAACACACGCTGGTATTAACTCATTAGCGCCCAGCCAACTCCCACACAATTTTTTTGACGGCGTTCAGGTGGCATAATCTCCGCCCTTCCTGACCTGACACGTGGAAGCTTTTTCTTTTTTACCAAGTGTGTGTGTGTGTGTGTGTGTGTTTACGTACTGGTTGATTAATTAATTCCTTGTGACATACAGTATACTATCTTCCCCTCCTCCTTCCTTTAATCTTTTTATTCTTCCTCTCCTTCTCCTCCTCATCTCCTTTCTGCCTTAAAATTTTCTACTCTTCCCTACCTCTTCTCCTCTCCCTCCTTCCTTCAATCTTTCTACTCTTTCCCTCCTTTCTTCCTTCAGTCTTTCTACTCTTCCCCTCCTCCTCCTCTCCCTCCTGCCTCCAATCTTTCTACACTCCCCCTCCCTCTCCTTTTTTCCCTCCTGCCTTCAATCTTTCTCTCTCCCTTCCTTCTCCTCCCCTCCCTCCTGCCATCAATCTTTCTTCTCTCCCACTCCCTCCTTCAATCTTTCACTCTTCCCTCCTTCTTCAATCTTTCTCTCTCCCTTCCTTCTCCTCCCCTTCCTCCTGCCATCAATCTTTCTTCTCTCCCACTCCCTCTCTTTCTCACTCCTGCTGACCCACATCTACCCGTGAAAACAGTCCCCCTGGCCAAAAAAAAAAAAACCCCGAGGGAGTGTCAAGAACCCGGGTGTATAAGCGACCACAAAATCTCGTCTTGTTAACACACTTTCGCCCACCGGGAGGACTGAAACCATTAGCGGTGGCAGGAGGCGAGGCAAGAGTCAACCTTAATGGTATGTGTTTGTGTAAAAATATTGCGCTTTACGAATAACTGCAACTCTCTCGCCTTACATACACTCAGTACAAACAGTGAGGGTGCTGATCGATCATTCATCCAGGTACGCTAATTGCAAGTTCCTAATAGTTAAAGCAAGAAATTTATACGACCCCCCCCCCAAAAAAAAAATACACAAACTATCGATCATTCATTCCAGTATAAGAGCCAAAGTTCCTGACAGTTCATATTACCATCACCCAACAAAAATACCCAGTAGTTAAACCCAGCACGATAACCTCTTAAGTTCTGGTCCACCTACGCTAGTTTATACCCAACACAAGCACCGAAATTACTATACTTCATCCCAGTACAATAGTCGAAGTTCTGACAATCCATACTAACAAAAAAATAACACAAACTATCCATCAATCATCCCAGTTACAACAGCTAAAAGGTCTTGATAACTTCTGCCGACATAAAACCCAATATATGAACCTGTGATATAGATTATTTGACATAACACCATACTACCACCACCAGGAACAGGGAAATTCCTCGCTAACAAGAATATCGAAATTGCAACACACAGCATCATATCACCAACACAAATACACTACAGAGTGGCGAGGAAACTTCCCTGCCAATACACTGTACCATTCACACCCACACTCATGCTCTTGGTCCACACATCACTAATAACGTCCAAAGTTTCCAAGATTTTTTATATATATTTTTTTTATCCAAACACGGCTCGGCAATGAGTAACGACACACAAACACCAATATGCAATTCTACATTAACTTCACACAAACAGGATTTTCTCTTTGACAAAATATGATGTGATGCTGGTACTGTCGCCCCAACCCTTACTCCCTCTCCCCTTGCAAAATTACCTCCTGTCGCCCCCTCCCTGACCCCTTACTCCCTCTCCCCTTGCAAAATTACCTCCTGTCGCCCCCTCCCTGACCCCTTACTCCCCCTCCCCTTGCAAAATGACCTTAGGACTTACGAGTGATCTGATCGTGGGTGTGAAGTTAGCTGAAGTGACATGACGGTGATCTAGATGGGGGAGGGGGGGGCGATGTGGAGGAGGCGCAGTAGGGGGGATCACGAGCCAGGAGTGTTGACAGTGATGGATGGCCAAGGAGTAAGAACCACCGAGGGAGATGTTGTCATTCTCGCCTCTCTCTTCACCCCATTTAATACTGGATGGCAGGAGGGGGAGGGTAGGGGACAAGAGAGGTATGGGAGGAAGGATGGAGGGGGGAGAGAGGCAAGAGGGAGGAAGGGGAGAGGTGTAGGTAAGGAGTGTGTGGTGGGGGAGGGTAGGGTAGGGGACAAGAAAGGTGTGGGAGGAAGGATGAGGGGGGAGGCAAGAGGGAGGGGAAGGGGAGAGGTGTAGGCAGGAGGTGGTGGGGGAGGGTAGGGGACAGAAAGGTGTGGGAGGGAAGGATGGAGGGGGGGAGGAGGCAAGAGGAGGTGTAGGGAGGAGTGTGTGGGGTAGGGTGGAGGGGGAGAGGAAAGGTAGTGGGGAGGGAGTATGGAAGGGAAGAGGGAGAAATGAAAAGGAAGAATGAAGGAATAGATGGTGGATCAAGAGGAGAGGGAAGGAAAGAAAGGTAGGTGAGGAAAGGGAGGGCAAAGGAGGGAGGAGAAGGAAGGGAAAGGAGGGAGGGGATGAAGATGAAAGAAGGGAAGTAAGTGAGAAGGAAGAAAGGAAAAGAAGGGTTAGGAGAAGGAAGAAATTGAGTGGGAAGGAAGAGGGAAGGAAAAAGAATAAAAAGAAAGTTAACAGAAGGAAGAAAAGGATAGCAGAGATGGTTTGGAGGACACACACACACACACACACACACACACACACACACACACAGAGTCTTGGATGTAACCCAACCACAGTATAAATTGGACCTTAAACCCCAGATAAAAACCCCACTGGTGTCACGGATAACCTAACCTAACCAAACCTAACCTAACCTAACGGGAAATAACGACAACATCAACGACTCTGGCTCAGCTGTTTCTTAAAAGGTTCGCGCGAGAAACATGGCCCCTTAAGTGAAGATGTGAATGTGTGTAGGACCTCTTAAGTAGCAAAGTGACTCACCTTAAGCCATGACCCCACTGAGAAATAATGCAACCATATCTCTTGTTAATTTTGTTTTCTTTTACTAGAATTAAGAAAAACAAAACAACAACTGGTTAACATTCGTGTAGTTAAAGGGGGGTGGTGTGGTGGTGGGGGGGGGGGTGGTCTTATCGTACGGGGGAAAAAATAACGTAAGAATCTTTTAACAATATCTTCCCTAGTCAGCTGTTTCTCCTTACACTTCATTAACTCTCAGCTCAATTTCTGAGACAAAAATATTCCTAGTGACAAGTCTATTATTTTCTATGTTAAATATTTTACCTTACATTAAACATCACGAGAGAGCATAATACTCTCTTGTCTCATTATATCCGAACCCAGAACCAAATCGAAAGTAAACCGAACCCGACAAAGTACCGAACCCGACAAAGTACCGAACCCGACAAACTAAACAAACCCCGAACATAAACTACACCAATTCATCTCGAACAGAAGTTAAATGTTACCTAATATATCCCTAAGTTAACTTAAGCCATTCCTAACATTAATAACCTAACCTACAACACCTCAACCTAACATAACCTACAGCACCCGAAACATAACTTAACTTACACCATCCTAAACATAACATAACCTAACCTACAGCAACCTAAACCTAAACTAACCTAAAATATCCTAAACCTCACCTAAACTACATCACCTTAAACCTAACTTAACCTACACCATAATAAACCTAAACTACAACATCCTAAACCTAACTTAACAGACCTACGCCTACTACCTTAACTTAACCTAACTTCCATCCCGTCCAACATCGCCTAACCTAACCAGACAAGCAGTTTCAGAGTCACAGCACAACGTCTGGTGGCTGTGTGGTGGTGACTTCTCTAGAGGATCGACCACATCTCCACCACTTGACGCCTGGGGGATTACTGCTGCTTAACTCTTCGGCAATTCAACCCACAGTTCACTGAAACAATTTGTCCTAAAAGGGATTTCTGGAATCGTGTACTATTGGCTACATAAGGGAACGAACTGCATAAATACTTGACACACACGAGGGTAAAATAAATAATGATGTACAGTGGGAAAACTCTACGGTAAGCTAACTCCATGTTTCACTAAGTTCACTAATGGTGATTTAGGTAGGTACCGCCGTTTAAGGAAATTTACAAATGTCAAAATGTAAAACACAAACAGAATGAAAATAAATATTCGTAAGTAACTTACCATGATAGCAGCGCTCCTCTACGTCCTGTGCCAGGTGAAAAAGGGTAAGGGAAGAGAGCGAGGGACACGTCCTCTCTCCACAACGGTCCCTGGTACACTGGCGGATGATATTGTTTGAACATCATGGCGGAGGCCGCGCTCTCACGCTCTGTTCAACCTGTGTTGAGGTGTTTACACGTTAATGACCTACTGATCCCAGACCAGAAACCTAATGTTACCTAACTTGACACATCGTGCCCTGACTTATCCTGACCCAACGTAATCTAGCTTACCCTAACTTAACCTAGCACCTGAACTCGCTGTTTAAGTAGGAAAATTGTGGGTAAGTGTTAGCCTCGAAATTTAATCTTGCCCCTCACCTGGATTAACCTTAACCAACACAACAATGACCAGTCTACGACACTTAACTATGTATAAACTTTTGAACACACTTGTAATAAGCTTCCTGGGAGTCTCCTTGCGTACACTACACAATAAACACTTTTCACCCTGCGAGGTAAGGGTCAAACCTTCCCGTGGCTTTATTTTTTTGAAGAGGATTATTTTTTAATATGCCCAGTGGTTGTCCAGTCTCCCACCAGGTAATGGCCTACAGTGTGGTCCGGTCTCATGACACACCTGCACTGATGTAGGCACCAATAAACCAGCGTTTGTAAGTGCAGCTACATTGTCACGCAAGTATTGTAGGCGAATCAACAATGAAGATGGTCTCTAATAACTAACCCGGAATTAATCTTTTTTTCACTTACACCGTATATTATGGCCACTCGTACAGGTAATGAATAATCATTAACGCTAGATGTTAATGACCCAACTTCAAGTTAATTTTAACGAAGGTTGTAAAAAAAAAGTACACCATGTTTTTCAGAGATGATTGGTCGATCAAACCTTAAAAATACAACGAACTCAGCCTACATATACATAACCTTTATCCAGGTTATTACTCCCTGGAAATTAGTGTAATATAGTCAAATTGCCTTAATTATTTCATTCATGGTGTTCCTTTGTTATATCATTACCCACACACACTCACCTAACTTAGATTACAAGTCATACTACATTAGTTAGGTTAGTTAAGGTAAGTGTTGCGAGCCTTTGCTCCTCAGCTGGACACCTTACCAGGAACCGGGCGGTAACCGACCCCCACAGACTCCAACGTTCTGTTTATCTACATTTTACCTCATGTTTAGCCTATTGCTCCTGCACTATTCAGTCTTACTCAGGTATTCTACATCACTATAGGAGACGAGTAGCAAACGCTATGTTGGGATGCACAATATATTGACAAAAAACACCAACAACCAGCGATAATCAATCATTAACAATCGCCACACTCATACAACAGTTACATAGATATAAAACAACACCCTAACAATCACCCTAAACCTACCACATAGAAATGTACATAAATATTATTAACTTACATTACATTATAAGCCAGAGTAAACAATTTGCTATCAACCACAACCGGCTCCACCGACACAGACAAGGAGCTCCGGAGACCGTAACCATGAGCCCAAGCTATGGGCCATCCAATGTATCATCCATGATTCATGACTCGAGATCAGGAACATCGAGTCGGGAGATCGAGTAACGGGGGTGGAGCAGTGGTCGTGCAGCAGTGGTCTATGGTCAGGTACCAATCGGGTCCTCAATCATATTCTACATCAAGCTTCGTAATAGTAAGTTACTATTAAATAACCTTCAATTTATTTTACGATATTCATGATTCTTTTCAAGTTGTTTAAGTTGGTGATAATTTGGTGGTTAATGTGGAAGTTGACAGGGAGGATGAAGGGGAGACGGGGACAGGAAGAGAGGAGAGGGGGCAGGGAACTTCTCGAGAGGAATATACACACACACACACACACAAAAAAAAAAAGGCGATCACTGAAACAACTGCCCTCCCCGCATACACAATACATAGTCCACATAATAAAAACACTCACAGGAGCTGGAGAAAGGGGTTGGAGAAGGGGGTGGAGAATGGGGTGGAGAATGGGGGTGGAGAATGGGGTGGAGAAGGGGTGGAGAATGGGGGTAAAGAAGGAGGGTGGAGAAGGAGCGATAGCCACAGTACGCATATCAGGTTAAGCACCATTGATATAGTGGCCATTTGGACGCCCTGTATCGCCACTCACACCTCTTAGGCAGGCTGAGGCAACGAAATGGATATCTGGCCCCAGCTCTTGTTCCGAGGAGTAGGGAGGGGGTAATGTGTCCACTCTATATATCTATCTATCTATCTATCTACGTATCTGTCTGTCTGTATATTTATCAGTTCATTTCCCTATCGCTCAAGGGCCAATCGTCTAAACACACACACACACACACACACACCTACCTCCAGCGAAATTGAATTCTGTCAACCGCTTGCTCCTCGAATTGAGTAATGTTTCTGTCTATCTGTCTGTCTGTCTGTCTGTCTGTCTGTCTGTCTACGCTGTCTATGTGCTTCCTATTTATGAACGTACCTTATCTATCTATCTATCTATCTATCTTCCTCAGTTAACATTATCAAACCACTTAAACCGCACTTCCTTCCCCTTGTATAAATGACACAAGTTCTCCACCTGATCGAGGATTACATACCAGTATAGGGATTTCTGCTGACTCACTCTATCCCAGGTAATCTTCTTCAGGTGTGTGTGTGGACTGGCAGGTGTGTGGGGTAGACTGGTAGGTGTGTGGGGAGACTGGAAGGTGTGTGGGGGAGACTGGTAGGTGTGTGGGGGAGACTGGTAGTGTGGGACTGGCAGTGTGTGTGGAGACTGGCAGGTGTGTGTGGGGACTGGTAGGTGTGTGGGGAGACTGGAAGTGTGGGGAGACTGGTAGTGTGACTGGTGTGGGAGACTGGTGGGGGAGGTAGGTGTGTGGGAGACTGGAAGGTGTGTGGGGAGACTGGTAGGTGTGTGGAGACTGTGTGTGGGGAGACTGTGTGTGGGGAGCAGGTGGGACTGGCAGTGTGTGGGGACTGGCAGGTGTGTGGGGGAGACTGGCAGGTGTGGGGAGACTGGTGGTGTGTGTGTGGGAGACTGGTAAGTGTGTGGGGGAGACTGATAGGTGTTTTGGTGGAGATTGGCAGGTGTGGGTAGTGACTGGCAGGTGTGTGGGGACTGGCAGGTGTGTGGCGAGTCAGGTGTGTGATGCCTGACAGGTGTGTGGTAATTGGCAGGTGTATGTGATGAGCCAAATGTGCGATGACTAACATATGTGTGGTGACTGGCAGGTGTGTGGTAATGATTCAGGGGTGATGACTAGATGACTAAAATGTGTGTGTGTGTGGTGAGTCAGGTGTGGTAAAATGACAGGTGTGTGGTGAGAGTCAGTTGTATAGATACCCTGGGATAAGGCCACATTAATATGAACGAGAGAAATCCACCAGCCTGACAATAATACACACACTGATGGCCACATACTGATGGCCACATACTGATGGCCACATACTGATGGCCACACTCCAACGTCATTATCATAATCTTTTACCTAATCCTCACTAATATCCTCTCTCCTCCCTCCCTCCCTCCCTCCTTAATTCTAACATCCTTCTCTCCTTCCGTGCATCTTCCCTCCTTCATTAAGTCTCTCCTTCCCTTCTCCTTACCCCCCCTCCCTACCTATTCCCTCCTCAACTATTCTTAATTATTTTCCCATTATTTCTACCTTCATTATTAAACGTCTTCTCTCTCCCTTCCTTCCACCAGCCCTATTTCACCTCCTTTCATCTTTCCCTTTCTCCTCCTTTCTCTTCTTCCTTACCTCCCTCCTTCCAACTAATGTACAGAATAATTAGGTTAATCCTCGGTCATATACAAAGCCTTTCATTCCCTCTCACCCCCTCCACCCTGTCTCTCTCTCTCTCTCTCTAATCCACCACCTTTCTTCCTTGACCCTCCTACTATCCACTCTTCCTCCCTTTCACCTTTTTATCAACTTTCACTGGACCTCCTCCTCTATAACTCTCTCCTCCCCCTCCTTACCTCCAACACCAACACCACCTCCGTTGACCTCATCTGCACTACTTTCCCTCTCGTAGGTTCTTTTTTTTTTTTTGAGTTTAGAAATCACACGCAAAAAGCTGCTGGTCGCGTTTTGCCTCCACACAAAGGAAAAAAAAAACCCGGGACCTCTTTTTGTCAACACCAAGTTTTCTTCTCACGGTAAAAACACTGCAGCCATAAATTGTTGCTGGGAACCTTGTGTGCTTAAGTGTACCAGAAACGCGTTTTGGTATGATTTTATTTTTATTATTTCTATCCGTTTATTATTGTTTTTGTTATTATTTTTATCTTTGTGTTTTTATTATTTATCTATCTATTTTTTCCACGATAGTAAGATAAAGGAATAAAAATAGACAAGGAAATAAAATTATATTAGCGAAAGAAAAAAATAATAATGAAGACACAGAAAATTAAATGATAAAAGAAACATATTAATACTTTAGAGAAGACGGGGGAATAAATGTGAATAAATAATAAACAGAAAAGAATATACAGATAATGAAAGCAAAGAAAACTGAGAATAAAGATAAGAAAAATAGTAATGGAAAAAAAAGAAGACAAAAACAAAGAGAAAGTAACGGGAAAAAAGACACACACACACACACACACACACACACACACACACACACACACACACACACACACACACCAGTACCGAGGTCCAACAATGACCATAACATCGTAAAATCAAACGGAGAAAAACACACATTATCGAACACGTCCCAGAAATAGTTTGGCCAACATCCACACAAACAAATTTTTTATCGAAATTGGTTACTTGTGTTTTCGAGTTAGAGCGTCAACACAGTACACTACTACACCCTCGCTGGGAAACACCCGTGTATTACCCCTCCCCTCATTTCCCCCTCACCTCCTTCCCATCCCTCTCCCCCTCTTTTCCCCTCCTCAGAAATAGAAGGAAGACGTGTTCATTATCATACTCACCTAAAAAGGAAACATGGTAAGCCAACTCTCTCAAAGATCGAATGCTTAGTTCATTTTATTCACCTGGTATAACGCTTATAAAAGACGAATGAACAGATGGACAGACAGACACACAGATGAATGAACAGTATTTGCACGTCACAGTTGTCTCACGTTACACCCCTCCTCCCCATCATCACCATCTCCCGTTATGCTAAACTGGACCAAAATGAACACAAAGCCATTAATATGAGAACATCTACGGTTGGGTTATTATACGAGGAATTTTGCCAAAAGTAAAAAATAAAAGGCATCATATACACACACACACACACACACACACACACACACACACACACACACACACACACACACTAAACCTCCCTCAGACGGAATATATAATGGGTCTTTTCTCTCTCCCTGATTTATTTATTTATTTTAATTTTTTTTGTATCAAGCGCTGCTCTGGCGGCGGCCAGGTCAACTGTTATGTTGGCACACACGCCAACTCCCTCCCCTGAACCCCTCCTCCCGCCGGAATATCAGCAAGTTCTCGCCACAAGTTACAATTTCATTCCGGAAAAGAGTGGAACCAGTGAAAACAACGCAACAGTAACAGTAGCAGCCGAGAGTCATACCCAAGCTAACCTTCACACAGTGAGGCTCCAGGTACCAGTGATAACTGCCCATGAGACCCAACAACAATCAGCAATGTGGTAATCCGTCCACGATAGGGAGGTCTGGGACCGCACCTGACTGTACACCACTTGAGTAAGTGAGGTCCTGTGACACCAGGCCACGTGGTGCCCCCTTGACGCGACGACACCACGTAGTGAATGAGTTGTACACTACGAGAGGTCCCTCATAACATCATCTGTGAGGGAGTCACTACGTGAGGTCCCTCATAACATCATGTGAGGGATTTACTACACCACGTGATGTCCCTCATAACACCATCTGTGAGGGAGTCACTATACTACGTGAGGTCCCTCATAACACCATCTGTGAGGGAGTCACATAACACCATCTGTGAGGCCCCTCATAACACCATCTGTGAGGGAGTCACTACACCACGTGAGGTCCCTCATAACACCATCTGTGAGGGAGTCACTACACCACGTGAGGTCCCTCATAACACCATCTGTGAGGGAGTCACTACACCACGTGAGGTCCCTCATAACACCATCTGTGAGGGAATTACTACACCACGTCTTTGCTGGTCAACACCTCAGCGCACGTGACCAACGTGACCTCCACTGTAAACATTAATTTGTATGTTCACTGTGTGTTCCTTTACCTTCCTCTAATGAAGGCTTTTGTTAACCCTCCCCCCTACCATGTCAATGTATGTAATAAGTCATTTATGTCCACTGTATAGTTTCAGCCTCGGGCTGCAGAACTTTTTCAATAAACCGTTAATTATTAATTATTATTATTAATTATTAATTATTATTATTATTATTATTATTATTATTATTATTATTATTATTACAAACACAAAACCTGGACTGCGTCTTGGAATGTGAAGTGCACAAACCGCAGACTTTGTTATATTGAGACTGACACTAATACAAGTTACTGACCACCTTAGGTACCCGTTTACAGGTGATTAATTAAACTGGAGGTGTCCTGGAAGCGAACCAGCAACCCTTTGGGCAGGAGACTAGCGCTGTATCCCATCAACCCGTCACAACTCTTATGAACTGCACACACACACACACACACACACACACACACCAGCTTCGTGAACATATTTAAGGCGGTGTGAGGTAATAAGAGGACACTGGGTCATGCTGCCACACACCCAACACACTACATCCTTCTGACGGCTCCATTATCCTGCCATTGTGGAGGTGAGGCAGCCCGACACCCATCCATGGCAGCAGAAGGGGGAGGGAGGATGAGGCTGGGAAAGGAAGGGGTGTAGGGGAGTGAAGGTGGGGGTGATGGTGGGAGGGTAGGGGTGGGGGGCGTGGCTGGGAGTGCATGAGAGTGAAGTAAGAGTTGGGGAAGAGATGGATGGGGTTGGGAAAGGAGAGGAGTTGGGGAGAAAGAGGTGGAGTTGGGGAGAAAGAGGTGTGAGTTGGGGAGTGGGGGGAGATGAGGTGGGGGGCTTGGGAGGAGCTGAGCCGTGACTTGTAAAGGCGAGACGATGTGAGGGAATGTGGAGCACCGCTGGTTGTACACACACACACACACACACACACACACACACACACACACACACACACACACACGCATTTTCTCATCTATATATTGAAAAACAAATTACTGTTCTCTTTTCATCCTTAACATATCACCCGTCGACAATGGGGGGCAGTGGTCGAGCTGATACCTTCAGAACAAACACCAATACTCGACAATAACAAAAACCTTCACTATAACAGGTGTTCAAGTAGAGCAAGAGCCACATGACCCAGCATTATTCTCCACCACACCCACTTGGAGATCCTGAGTGATACTTTGACAATAGATTACATAGTTTCTTAAAGTTACACAGTATTTATGTTTTAATTTTTGAGTTATTGATCTGACATAATTCCTAAAGCCAAAAGCAGTATTCACCAGCTATTAACTACATGGCATTTATTACTCATAATTAAATATCAGATATTACCAATTGTCCAGGGTATTATGGCCGCAGCTGTACGACCCGTTTAACATTGCGGGGACCCGTTAGTGGTAGTTTCCTTACCATGACTAGAAATTCTACAACAGGGAAAAAACACAAAAATATGGTAACCAAACGGAAACTTAACCCCGTCATCCGTCTTTTTAACGAAGAATTTCTGGTTGAACTACAGGAAAAAAGTCTTAATTCTCGACCGATATGTGTATATAAATGGTCACCTCGTCACAGCCTGAGACCATCAAGTTCAAGAGGTGAGACCAGTAAGTTCACAGACTCAACAGGAAAATAAAATCATCAGAATCGCAGGTCTAAATATTGTAATCTCTAGAGTTTCATGTCTCACGGGAGAGAGTGGGGGAGTATACTCTTCCTTGGTGTTAAAACAACAGCATCATCCATCATGTCAGCAGTCTATAATTCTGGCTTCGACCAGCAAGAAATTCCCCTTATATTGAGCTTCCGAGGAGTGTTCTGCCTTAGCTCTCTCTTTTATATATATATATATATATATATATATATATATATATATATATATATATATATATATATATATATATATATATATATATATATATATATATATATATATATATATATATGTGTGTGTGTGTGTGTGTGTGTGTGTGTGTGTAAGCTTTACATGGATGGGAAATAAAATGTGTTTATCGATATTTGTTCAAGTCTGTTTCCAGAAATTAAAATTTTTGATATTCTCTTAAAAATTCCAGCAAGTATGGATAATTATGATTTTTCTTCTAAAAGTTTTGAAATGCATAATAACATGTAAGATAACTTCAGGAGAGGTGAAGCAGCTTACTCCACTCCGGTGAACAGAAATAATCAATTAACGAGATAATACACTGTAACTCACCAAAGTAAAAGCACACAAGAGACAGTCGTCCAGTGCTTCACAGCCGAAGATATTTTCTATATCTTACTACATGTGGTACAATTGCCGAAATGTGTTCCTACGCCCCCTGTGGTAACCCGTCTCCCCAAACGGCCAACCTATATGACCTCTTACAAACCTATCCACAAATCACGTCCGTCGTTACACCACCAATACCCATTCATTCATAAATAGTGATACTGCGACGGTGCCGTTTGGAGACACGGGTTACCACAGGAGGCGTAGGAACACATTTCCATAACTGTACAAATTCACTGTCAGCTGCAACAGCACAAAAGTACTTAAAAGACAATTACACTCACAAAACAATGCCACTAAAAACTATAACGAAAAAATTAAAACAGTTCACCAGTAGGTTTTTATTAACACCTATTAAGAACCATTTCTCAGTTCCGGTTTGCCAGAAATTAGTTCAGTGTCGTGTTTACATGGCAATTTTAACGGGTCATGAGGCTTGTCACCGAGTGTTCTAATACCGACCATCAGAACTGTTGTCTTCTACCACACGTCTTAAAATACCTCATAAATACACTAATAACCGACCTACATACATGTTTATGAACGTAATGTAAACACCATATGTACCGTTATATAAGAGTGTACGTAAATTATATGCATGTATTAATATATTTCCTCACTCTTTTAAGCAAATTTCCTATTACTAATATTTTCTATTATATTTTTATCACCATAACATAACACCACATATAATATAATACTCACAAGAAGATTTCAAGTAAACACACACACACACACACGTGAAAGGTCGCCATACTCACCTATATAGAGCTGAACTTGACGTAATCTCGAATATTTCTATTTGTGTTGACTTTAATCTTGACCTTTGACCGATTTTGACCAACATTGACAGGCACCTTAGCTGTCAACTCGCCCCGTTAATCTGTAAAAAAAAAAAAATTGAAAAATCAATTTATATTTGTGGACTCCATCATAAAAAAATTAAACTGATAGCCAAAAGGAAACACAATGAATACGTGAGAGAGAAAGATATAACATAGACACATACCAAGTGTATATCCGGCCACTCACCCCATGAGATACTGGCTCTCTCACACACACACTTGTCGCTTGCCATCTGTGCTAATAAAACCCTTAAGAATGTTTTTTTTGTCCATGTTTAACGTTTATAATGCTTCTTTTATTATGCTCATCCACAGTATAGTTCACTATATAGTAATACGGTTAAATTACGGTTAAAAATATACAATAGTAGTTTGCGAACAAGTGAAATAAAAAAATTGCTTTAATAAGGCCACAGTTAGTGGAAGAGAATTAAATCATATAAGAACTGAGGTAGGTGAGCCCACTGACGGAGCCTTGAGAGGTAGAGATGAAAATGATTTGGTTTAGTCTGCTAAGTAACAGTCTTTAACCCACTGTGTGTGTGTGTGTGTGTGTGTGACAATACGGCCACAGTATAACACACGGTATAAAGCGACGACGCCCTTGATGATGTCGTCGGCGTCTCCTTTCTAATTCTGATTTCGGACACAAGAAACCAGCTCCCACTCCCTCCCTCTCACTACCTCACCTCACCTCTCTCACCTCCACTCTCCCTCTATTGACAATAACAAATGTATAAAACTGATCAGAGTCTACGTCACAATAGTCAAGCCAAAAAGTTCTCTTAGTCAGCCAGTCAGTCGTTCAGTCAGTCGCGGCTGTTATTCACAAAGTTAGCTGATGGAAACAACAGGAATAATCAACTGCATTCTTGTCTGTCTGTCAGTGTGACGTGAAAACTGCATTATCACATCCACTGGTGGGCTCTGTCGTCGCCATCATCTCGCTCTGGTTAACGAGTTTGAATAATGTTTCAACGCAAGTGAAAACAAACGTGTCTGCTTTTACGGTCAATCGTCAAGGCCTAGTTTCCTCCCCTCTGCTGTCGCCACACCCATCACCACCCCTTCTACCACCTCTACTAACAAATATCTCTCCTCCTCCCTCCCAGTTTCCCCTACCCATGACGATCTCCCCCCATCTCCTGTCCCCCCCCACCTCTCTCTTCACCTTAATTAGTATATAGTTAATGCATTTGTAATTGTATTTCTAAGAGCTCTTATTATTATTACTTATTATTATTATCATTATTATAAAAAAACATCCTACTACTATCAGTATAAACTTCACTTATCATATCATAAATGAATGTCTTCACAGGGAGGTGTTTAAATGCTCGCTCAAGCTGACGACCATCTGAGGGAAGACCACGATACTGTTGTAGCTGGTGGTTAAGGTAGCTGGTGGAGCATGTAGCAATCTCTCTCTCTCTCTCTCTCTCATTGTTTTTATGCACACTCGTACACTCAGGCACACATACATACGAATTCCCAATGCAAGACACACAAACTTCCATGCTCGCACACAACAGTCTGGCAATATGAGAACACCTCCTCCCCTGCTCACTGCCTCTTCATCTTCCTACACTTTATCTCTCACTACCCAAAGAAGCACAAGATCTTGTGGTTTCCACGGTCGTAGACGTCATCAAAGCCTTTGAGGAAAGTAGTCAACCACAACGCAAGTCATCAACAGTCATTAAGACTAAATCCGGAAGAATCTCATTTTCTATTACTAACAGATTTCCTTCCTAAATGTCGACAAGTTCACCACTGCCGGGGGGGGGGACTTTCCTACTTTCTCATCCTCGTCAACGGTGCCTCGAGGGAGACGTCTTCTCGGTGGAATCATGTTGACGACCCCACCACTGGTATTAGTGTTCACGACAGCTCTCCTCACTACAGCCTCCAGAATTGGACAGACGCCAACCATGTCACTATCAACTGTACCAAGACAATGGTTTTGCATCTTACCACCTTCCACTACCTCACAGGGTTCCACCACCCTCCTCTCTGGGTTATACAGTCCACGAAATTCTCCATCCCTCTAACACCACCTAAGAGACGCTATACATCTCAACCATCACCGTCGTCAACTTCTACCACTAAAGGTTTCTCGCCTAAAGTTGCAGCTCGACACAATAAACACATTAACCTCGTACAGCCTGGCACAGACTACTTAAAGAAGGACCCTGCCACAACCACAGTAGAAATTGTCAACAACTCGTTAATATTTTGTGCACACAATCCACTTCTTGTTTTTTGCACTGAGTCTTGAATAAAGACGAAAGCTAAGGTTCTCCATTGTTTCTCTTTTCCCTGTGTGATTTTATCAATCATATATATATATATATATATATATATATATATATATATATATATATTATTATTATTATTATTATTATTATTATTATTATTATTATTACACACACACATACGTCTCCAACACATCCAAAACACCACAACAAACACCAGAATTGTTAAGCATTATGCTCGACCCACTTTAGGCAAACTCTGGACGGCATGAGAGATGAGGGTGACTCAGATCTACGTACTGAGGGATGAAAATGCCTCACTTGAGAGAGAGAACACGCTTCATCTAAGAAGGTGAGAGAAAAATCTCACTTGGGTGTGTGAGACCTGGGGGGTGAGGTACACATTAATAAGACAAATATGGACGAGGGAAATATAAATAATGTAAACGTTGTGGGAATGTTGAGCTGTACCTGCTGACCCGCGGGCCTGGCTCACCCACGGGGGAACACACACTCAAAGGGACTAAAAGGAAGACAAAAAAAGGCCACATAGTAGATAGTAAATAGCTGTATCACTGGAGACTATCTGGTGTTCCTAGAGGTCAAGTGAGGGTTACGAGAGCACCTCAACCCCTCATACCTGACATATTAATTGAATGAGGGATTAATCAACACGACCCCCCACCCCCGACCCCCCCAACACCCCCAACCTTCCACCCACTTCACTTACAACGGTGTTAAAACTATAAAACAAATACACAGAACAATTAAATCCCTCATTCACACCTAACTGAGATTCACATACTTGCTAGAGAAAACATGAGCAATCAAGAACCGGTTTGGAGCTGGGTTAAGCCGCCGGTTGAAAAAAAAATATCATCCCTAGAGTATTAAGGTCATCCACATAATGAGACACATAATGAGACACTCTCGGCCATCAGCACTACTTAGGCAGACTTTTGGCAGCTAAGATCACATTACGAATATGGCACAGTGAGTGGTAGAACGTGTTGTCGTCTGTACCTGAACGCGACACACACACACCATAACATGTAGTACATGTAGGGGGCGTCAGCTATTCCATCGGTGACAAGGGCTCTCCTGACAATGGTTCTCAACTGTACTTAATGGTCATAATTGAGAGGAATTAAGAATTTAGCATCAAAGCTCCACCCGTGCCCTGTACAATGGGAGAAGCAATTGAACTCTCTCCCCTGCTTGACGACTGGTGGAGTGTGTGTGTGTGTGTGTGTGTCCAGCCTACAGGAACATGGGCCACAGATATCAGCGTTCAAGGTAATGACAATGAGAAGCTACATTACAACAGCTGAGAGAAAGCAGAGGCACACTAAACGTTGAACAAGAGAGATGGTCATAGCTAGTTTATTTGACATTCTCACGCTCATTGTTATCCACAAATTCAACGGTACTAAAGTTACATTAAAATCGACAGGTGTTACGTTATGTTTCAGTGAGATTTCGCTTCATAGATAGACAACCACCCCCACACGCAAGTTTATTTCGCTTCACAGACAGAGACATACAAACACGACCCCCCCCCCACGTAAGTGTATTTCGCTTCACAGACAGACAGACAGACAAACCCCCACACGAACCCCTTGAGTACGATAACAACCCCTTGAGTACGATAACAACCCCTTGAGTACGATAAAAAACCCTTGAGTACGATAACAACCCCATGAGTACGATAACAACCACTTGAATATAATAATAACTTAAAATACAATGAATCAATCTTAACTTCTAACAACTCAACCGTAACAACTACTGCAATCAATCAATCAATCAAACAACAATAACATCAATAACCATAACAAAAATTAACTGTACTCAAAACTAACATCAACAATAACACTCAAAATAACGTAAATAAATAACCAGACCACCCGGAAATAGCGTCAAGTCACCAAACACACAAACACACACACACACACACACACACACACACACACGCGCGCGGAGGAATGTGCCCAAAGCTGCCTAAGCGAGGAAGGACAAACGCCGTCAGGAAGGTTGAGATAATTACTGGGGTGAAGACAGATGGCCAATGAGGGGTCTTGGGGGTACTGGTGGGTCTTGAGGGGTCCTGGTGTATTCTGAGGGCTCTGGGGGTCTTGGAGGTTCTGGGGGCTCTGGGGTCTTGAAGGTTCTGGGGGTTGTAGGGTCTTGAGGGGTCTTGGGGTAATGGGAGTCTTTGGGGGTACTGGGGAGGTCTTGGTGTTCTGGGGATCCTAGGGAGGTCTGGGGGGTCCTGGTGGGGTCAGGGCCTTGGGGGTCTAAGGGTCGGGGGTCCTGGAGAGAGAGAGAGAGAGAGAGAGAGAGAGAGAGAGAGAGAGAGGAGGGCTATCCGTGTGCATAGTGTGTGTGTGTGTGTGTGTGTGTGTGTGTGTAACAGTAAGTTAACATATACACATACAAAAATGTATACCGGTCAACAAAACTATCATGTAGCTATCATAAAAACTATCATGTATCATTAAAACTACCACGTATCATCAAAACCAACGTGTATCAACCATCATTAAAACTAACATCCCTCATCACACTAAACACTACACCCGGCAGCCCCTCCCATGTTATACACAATTCCACGACTATCTCACGTCCGGACACTCACTCACCTACTTTTCTTTCTTTCTAGTTAAGCAAAACACAGTAAAAGGTCTTGAATCAACCCCCTGTTACAGTACGCATGAGGAATACAACAACGTCTATAGGTGATATCTCATAGTCGAACCCAAGCTTGTGTCTCGAATACTGGCAAAACCTCTTCCCGGATATCAACACTTGACCCTCACGTTTA